CCCCCCTTCTTCCCCCTCCCGCTTCTTTGCGCCTCCTCCACCCAGATTTATTATGTAGTTTTCGAATTATAAAGATCGTTGGTCGGCGATTTCTTTTGCGCCCCCACGGCAGCACTGGGGTATGGCCGCCCCACGTTTTTTTTTTCTTGGCTTGGGGTCCATCGATCGTTGACGTGAGATGTGGAGGGTGGGACGCGAAAACGACTGGACGCCCCCCGGACGCGCGACAAGCGGGTCGGGCCTTGAAACAACGTCGGACGAGCAGGGGTCTGCACTTATTTCTGGAGACGCCATTTGGACGTCAAAGATGTGCTTTGCGTCGGGATTTTTGAGGGCTTCGACGTTGGTGTTGCTGCGAATGTTTTCGAGAAAAGGGGAAGGTCTCGAGGTCGCTTGTTGGTATGGCGGACAGCTGCCTGGAAATGCGTTTTGGCTGTGCGCCTGGAACGCTAGGCGAGCTGCAGCCAGCCAATCTCCCATGTGAACACTCGCCGAGAACGCGGCCACAACCTGAGAAACGCATTAAAGGATCATGGGAACAGAAATGCCTTGACCTCGTGCATTTGAAGGGATTGATTGATTCTCATTTGCAGCGGTGTTGGATATTTGGCTTCTTGAAGGACTGGGTCGACTGCCCAAGCCCTGCAGACTGAACCCAGCGCGTTTGTTCGCCTACCTGCAGCCGGAGAGTGGAACAAGGCACAACGGCCATGCAAGCCATCTGCCGCGTCTACGAAGCGTCCCAGAATGGGTGGGCACAGCCCGATGAGAATACAACGAGCGACAGGGCGAGTATCTTGCACTGGGCAGGAGGATGGGGGATCTGTGCATTATCGTGCAGGCAGAAGCCAGGAATTATTTTGTTTCTTGAATTTTGGTGCATTATCCCAGTGCCATACCCTCTCCAATCTGAAATCGTGCAGTGGATGTAGCTTTCCCAGCGTCCGCACTCGGTTAGCATCCCGTTTCTGGGACAGGACGCAACCGCTTGCCCCAACGGAAACGGTGAACGCAAATGGCACGACACAATGAAGCGGACGATGCTAGATTCCGCACAATACCAGCGCAGCGACAATTGCGAGCCACAGCCTTGCCGTGACGAATGAACAGATGCCCAATACTTTGTCCTAGATTTCGAGCCTGGCGCTTCCCGTCTCGACGAGGCTGGCGGGAAGGGAAATGTTGTTGCCCAGTTTTGGTGTTTGTCCCTGGTGCTCGTTTGGGGCTGTCTCTTATACACATCTAGATGTGTATAAGAGACAGGGGTTCAGCCTGGCAGCGAACGCAACCACTAACGAACGCTACACCCCGAACACAAGATTTCTCGCAAAGTGTGCACTCCTGTCTCTTATACACATCTAGATGTGTATAAGAGACAGGGGTTCAGCCTGGCAGCGAACGCAACCACTAACGAACGCTACACCCCGAACACAAGATTTCTCGCAAAGTGTGCACTCTCCCCAGATTTTACAATCAAAGATTTACGTGCTGTATCCGTTGTAGTTGGGCAGCAGGCTGCTTTCCCAAGAGAAGGGACAAAGCTGTCGCTCAGGGGTAAGGCCTCTCGGGCAGCCGGGCACGAAACAACCACCACAACGCCTCGCAAATGTCCCGCACACGGAAGAAAATCGTCAGGACCCGACTTTGGCCTCATAGCAGGCATGCCTACGTGCGTTGGAACACTTCAATACAGTCTCTGCTGGCTGTGGCCGGGATAGCGTGCCCTGGGGCACGCGCAGACAGACCTTTACGCGATGTGCCCAAGCAGTCCAGCACCACATCCCGTCAAACTCGGCAGTGAAGGAGGCAAGTTCGCTTGAACAGTGCAATTTGCAGAGTAATTCGCCCGAGGTGGCTACTGATCGCGGCACCTCCCTTCCAAAAGGCGGAATTGGGTGGGCCACCAGTGCAGACCAGCTGCGTGCACACAGATCAACGAACCTCGCAGAAAATCGGCGCACATGCATTTCCTATTCAAGCTAGTGCGCCAATTGCCACACGAATTAATGCCAGAGCTGGCCAGCCCACCGGCTGCCAGTTCAAGCGAGGAGCTCTAGTGATGGGCGTTGCTCGGCCGGCGGCACACCGGGGGGATCAGCCGGGTGCAGGCTTCAGACGAACGCCTCGCGGGGGGGCGGTCCTGTTGTGCCTGGCCCCCCAGTGGGACCATTGTTGCCTGGGGGCGTGTGCCAGGGGCGTGTGAAAGGGGTGTGCCTCTCGCTTTCGGGCGTGCAGAGCTGGGCTGCTCCCTCGTCTGGCTCTGAGGTGCGTGAGCAGGCACTGGAGATGGGGGACTGGCGATGGCACGGCCTGATGCCCTCTACAGATGTCTCAGTTCCATGTGGATGAGGCCCTGGGGATGAACCCTTGGCTGTCTTGGACTCGCGCGCGAATGTCTCAAAGCTTATTGAGCCTACCCCGGATTACATAGAGTGAGACATGGGATGGCTTCGTGGTGAACGTGGGATACACAGTACAGCGCATTGAGAGCGCAAATGCAGCATTCTGAGTGGACTCGGACGCCAGACTTGTGCTGGAACAATACCAGAACCTTCCAGCACTGCTACCACATACATTTCGATTTACGGGCGTTTCCCCCGGCGGAGAAATTGGCGAGTGTGCACAGCAATAGTGGCGGCCCGGGGTACCTAGGGTAGCGCCAGCCTGCTGCACCCCCCCTCAACCGACCTATCTGCCAGAGGTGCGGCATTCAGCAGGCAAGAAAACTTCAGCAGCAGGGTAGTTGGGATGTGGCACCCCCGAAAAACGCCAGGCAATGCAACGCGCAGCGGCCACCTTGAACTCCACGATTACGAGCCCTCGATCGCAATAGTGACAATAATATCATTTGGAGACACACAGGGACTGCTGGGACGAGTCTGATGGGATTTTCTTGACCGCGTATCCTTGGCAAACTCGGGAGTTCTTTCCAGTCGCACCCAGGGAGCTAGATTGTGGCAAAATTGTTGGGACAGGCAGCGGCGCCAGGGCCAGAGGCAAACACAACAAACCAGATCGCAGTTCCAATGAACGTTTCTTCTGCCATTCTCCAGTACAGACCCATTTCACGCTGAGAAGCCTGCACACGCCATCATGAGCTCAATGATCATGATCGTGACGCACTGCTGGCCCTGTATGCCACGCCATCGTGAGTGATCACGTCGTGCTCGCAGCAGTACTCAGGGACCCAGTCAGGCAATGTCCCTCGGGGCCAGAAAGTGCCATGGGGGGCCACCCCAGCAAAATGCGGTATCTGGGGCTAGTGACACTGAATTTGGGGGCAAGCTTGCGGCACAGAAATCAAACACCTGGCAGGGGATCACACACTGCGCACCAGCAGCCACCAAGCATGGCCCAGTATCTTTTCGACGGAAATGTAGCTACTGGTAGACGTAGAGACGGTTTCTGGGGAACAATTGCATTATGGAAACGTGAGAGGAATGTGCAGTGACAGCATGGGGACATGCTCTTGCAGTCCAGCGTGGTGATGCCTTCGACTTTGGTGCGAGGTGCCCAGTAATGGCACAAACATGCGGGCACAGCTACTGTGTGGTGCTTCTACGGCTTCAATCTTGCTGCTGTGCTGCCAGTCGGGGTGGGGGGGACCCTGAACAGCCTCAATGCCCCCTCAACACCTCGAACATGGTGCAGGGCACATCCCCAGGTGCCCCAATGGGGACAATGCCAAGGCGGGAGCTGCCCCCCTGCCCGGGACCCATCACGACCTGCGTCACATCGCGCCGGCAGTCCCCCCTGCACGCCAGGAACACGCATGGGGGGCCGAGATACCCGATCTCTCGCTCCACCAAGAGCCTCACGGTCCCGCCCCTCGAGGGGGTGGGCGATGGGGGGGGAGCGCCTCTGCTACTGATCCCTCGCCTGACCGCTCCCTGCTCCTGGATGCAAACTGCGATCACAATGGCCTTTACCCAAAAGGATCAGAGGCGAACATTCGAGATTGAATCGCTGCTGGCCCCGAATTCTCATTGGCTCACGCCGAGGTGAGCCAGGTGTGCAGCTGGCTGCCAGTCCGCACGCCCCCGATCACTCCTCGCCAGACCGCCCGCCCAGAGAGGTACTTAAGGAGCTCTCTCCCCCCTCCCAACTCTCGCCTTTTCTTCCCTCTTCCACATCGGCTTCTTCTTTTTCTTTCTTCGTCTTCGACCTCGACCATCTTCGACCTTCAACATGAAGCTCGGTTGGCCCAGGCCACCGACATCAACAAGCTTCCCCTTCTTCCTTCAATGTTCGTTTGAACATTGGCTGATCAGCCTTGCAGGTCTTCGACCTCTGGAACGTGGGCGGGTGGGCTTTTTCGACACAAACTGCTTTCTGCCTTGTGCAAAAATTAAGTCTCTCCTGCTTCTGGTGTTTGCCTTTGTTCGTGACCAGTGCTGACTTCTTCTTTTCCATAGTGCTCTAGGCTCTGGCAAATACAACTCTTCCAAGAGCTGAGTCTACCTTTTTTGCGTTTTCTTCGTGAACAGTGCTAACTTGTTCTTTTTTCCCATAGTACCCGGCCGACCGATCGACTCCTCGACACTTCGACCGACAAAACACTTCGACACAATACTTCTGGCGGGCGGGTGGGCAAACCTCCGGGCAAGTCCAATCCCCTCCCCCAAAAAAGAGACTGCTGAAAAGAACTGTGCTAAACTTGCTCTAGAGGCACTGGGGGCTACCCGTTCCTAAAGGACTTGGTCCTTGGGATCGCGGCCGGAAGTGATGATACAGAACCAGGGGATAACCCAGTTCTACTTTCTGATCCGGCCAGCGAAGGGTTTATTTTTTGATTCTGATTTTCCTTCTGTTTTTCCTTTTGTCTTTTTCCTTCTGTCATTTTCCTTCTGTCTTTCTCCATTCGTCTTTCCAGTATTTTTGTTTGTGTGTGTTTTTTGTTGGTGGTGCAATTTGTTCATCCTGTCCTGGTGTGGTGCGTCATGGCTGTCTGGTGGTTTGTCGTTTGCATTTGCCTGTTCTTTCCATTTTGTCCTTGCGTTCTCCCAGCGTACCGATGGCTAGTGGCCTCGTCGTGGAGCTTCACAATCATTCTTCTTGCTCGCATGCTTTTGTTTTGGTCGGACGATGTTACAGCTTCTTTCTTTGCAGGATTCCTTCTCGTTTGCATCTCCTTCGCTTCGACCATTGTCGATTCGCATAATTATTCACACACCTTTTGGTGGGTGGGTGGGCAACAAACAATCGCGGCATCGTTTCAAATTTCCCCTCGTGGTGTTCGTGATTCTAACTGAAGCCAGTTTCCAGGTCGATCATTTTCGACTCGCGCTCTTCTTCACACACCTCAGGGTGGATGGGTGGGCAAAAACAATCGCGGCATCGTTTCAATTCTCCCCTTGTGATGTGCGCGGTACTAACTGCAGTCAGATTCGACCGATTTCGACTCGCATCTCTCTTCACGCACCTTTGGGTGGGTGGGTGGGCAACAGCAACCGCGGCATCGTTTCAAATCCCCCCTTTGTCGTGCGCGCGGTTCTAACTTCAGCCAGATTCGACCGATCCCCGAACTCGTGGGGTGGAACGAGGGTGGCGGCGGGCACTCACCTAAGTCTCTGTTCTTCCCGCTTGCAGATCACTTGCTAACTTCTGCACAGGTGGCCCGACTCCGGGGCGGGTGTGCGGGAGGGTGGGTGGCGGGCAACTTTTTTTTCCAAACATTTTCTGTCTTCTGCTACCTGGTAAGTTCAAGTTTTTCTTTTTGTCTTTTGGATCTTTGGTTCGCGCCAATGATGAGCATCTTCTTCATTCTTCGTTAGGCTCCCATCGGGGAGATAACGAGGCCCGTTGTGCACATGCCGACGCGATGCCTGCGGGCTGTCAGGGCTCACGCACACCATCATGGGACCTCGGCCAGCACAGCTGGTCTTTCCGATGGCGACAACAGTTTCTCTGAGGCGATTTGGCTTGAATACATTTTTCTTTTGCTGTTTGCGCTGTCTTCTGGAATGGTCTGCTAACCAGTGTGCACCACAACAGGGTTTTGGTTCACGCGGGACATGGTGGAGGCGGAGGAAACCGGCTTGGGGCTTGGAGTTTTGGGAGGATGGTCTTTCTGGGGATTCCTGTACTCTGATGACATGAAATGCAAAATCACTCCTCAGCAATAATTCTGTGTCTGCTTGGCCCTTGTGACAGGTTCCTTGTATCAGCGGCACCATGGTCGGGAGAAAATTGGCACGAGTGAAGAGAGGCGAGACTGCAAAGCACAATGTGCAGTATCATTCAGACTTGCCTCTGGAGATTCCAACTTGCGTGGTGAATCGGCCACACAAACAGCCATGGGATGCTAGTGCCTCCCCAAGCCGTTTGTCGGCGTCTGAGATCGTCCGTTCCACACTGCCGCGCTGTGGCAATAACTGATCCTGAGCTGGGAAAAGCGCTGAAAATCCAGATGATAGTTATTCTGGAGGAGCTGAGCCGCAGATCGAAAGCTGCACGAAACTGGACCAGACATTGTCCAGCAGCAAGCGCGCTGGCACCTGTGCCAAGCTCTCTGGGAGGCCAGCAAATCACGCAGATGCAATCTGTAAACACCGACCAGGGGGAGAGTAGAAAACACGATAGGGAAGGTATCACAGCACTAACACAATTCCTTGCACACCAGCGGCCTCAGGAGAACAAAATCCGACAGTGCGGCTGCAAAGGGGCAAAGGCCATGAGACAGCAAGTCCCTGGAATCTGTGCTCGTGCTCAATCTGGGAGAACGGCTCATTCTGGACACTTTACCATGGTGAATGCTGCCCAGGAAGCCAAGTAAACATGAATGTGGATGCACGTAGCCGCCTTGCCACCAATATGCACATGTGGGCTGGGCTCCCAGCTGCCAGCACGTTCAGGCGTTGGTGCTCCCCTCCGCAAACTGCTTCTGTCCGGCTGGCCAACCTTCCTCCAATACGACAACCGCCCATATGAATACTGCAGAAGAGGCAAAGATCCGATAATTGCCACTGAATTATTGTCCTCTTCTTGCGGCAGCGTTCTGGCGCCAACAAAACGGGGGGGATCCGTGTCCGTCCCCGCTCAAGCCGCAGCCCGCAAACGACAGGGGCTGGGCACATCATCTGCAGGAGCAAACCGTGTCGCGACAGTCATAATACACTCAGGTACACTCGATCTCGTACCAAACCAGAGCAGCAAGCGATATAAGCTCGCTTCTGATCCGGGTGCCCAAGAATCAGGGGTTTGGACTTGGCTCGTCCCCGGGGATTCGAAGCCCGGGCAGGAAGGCTGCCACAACAGCTCGCCTCCTTGAGCCGCCTGAATTTCTCGAAGATCATGGGAGAGCTCGGGCGCACCGTTTGCAGAGCTCTGGACTGACGTACCTCTTTGCAGACCACCAGATGCGATAATGCAGGTGACGGCCCTGGCAGATCTCTGGACGAATTGATCCCACGCCAATACGAAGCTATCCTGCGCCACCGATGCTAAATACGACGAAAAATACATTGGCAATCGACCGACCGACCGATATATACCATACCGTTTGTGTCCTGGGAATGGAAAAGAATAGCCCAAGGCGCTGGTCTGGACAGGAGGGAGAGTGGCACTCAGCCCCGTTGTGTGAGTATCCTTCCGCAATACCATTCGACTTGCATCCAACTTGAGTGACGTGCCACGACAGAGATGCTGTTCGGCATGGAGCCCACTTCGCTTGGGGCGACAAGCAGTACTTGCAGAGCGCTCAGAAGTTGGAGTAAGCGGACCAAAAACGCACCGGCGGGCAGCCAACGGCCATCCCTGACGTCTGCTTAAGGTTACGTGGGTTGGCTGACAGGTGCGGAGTTGGTTGGACGCCACACAGGCAGCCGTCTGGGCATTGCGCAGGCACAGCTCAATAGCTGCCCTTGGCGCTCCACATTGCGCAGCGACAAACGGTCAGTGCCGTGAACCTGTCGAACGCTGAAGAAGAGCACATGGCTGGAAGACCGGGCGATAATTCACATCCGCCGTGAGCTGCCCCAGGATTGCCACTCCACCAATACGAAGAGACGGCAGCCTCGAAAGTCTCTGGGATTCTTTTTCGGATTACTATACAACATGGAACATTGCAAGCCAGCAAAGGTATTTAAATCCCGAGCTTCTGTGCGTTGGAGAGTGGCTTGCCCAGCTAATACAGACCCAAGCCTAAACTCCACCACGACACAACTGTTGACATCAATTGATCTCCGGAACACCATGCCTCAGTCCGTTGAGAACCCACCTTCGCTGTACGTCAACCTCAGCATCTCGAATGTTGAGGCTGCAACAAAGTTCTTCAAAGCCCTCGGCTTCTTCCACAACACCGAGTGGAGCGACAAGCAGACTGTGTCGTTCTTCTTTCCCGCTCCCAACGCCAACGTCGCCCTCATGCTGAGCGACAAGGACCGCTACAAGACATTTATCCGACCCGGCACCGAGATCAGCGACGCCAACAAGGTCACCGAGGTCATCTTCACCTTTGCTTGCAAGACCAAGGGCGACGTCGATGCGATGGTCGAGAAGGCCGTCGCTGCTGGCGGGAAGCCGGACCCCTTCACGATGCCTGACAATGGAGCGGGGTTTGGGATGTACTGCCGGAGCTTTGAGGACGTCGACGGGCATATCTGGGAGGCCAATACCATGCTGCCACAGGGTGAGGAGAAGTGATGCGCCGTTGACGCTGGTTGGGTTGTCTGACGGTGGAGGTAGTAGATCGTACGCATGGGCTACGATGTGGACACGAGCCTTTGAGTACCATCACCGTAGTCTATGAATGCCACAGAAGCCAACATGATCAAACCAGAATATCCCAAAACCTCTATAAAGTACATGAGATGTGCCTCTCGTTCCCCACCAAACATGTAGAAATCTAGAGATAGTGCGTATCTACTGCAGATCGTGTTCCGCAACGAAACGCAGCAACCCTCATCTGTTCCTGCTCCGTCTCTTTGATACTGATTGCGAAAGCTCGATCGTTGGCTCACTCGAAGTGTTACGCCTTTCTCGCGCATCATGCCTGTAGAGTCTCAGTTCAGCGGCTGTCTTTCGAGAGACTGCAACGCGAGAGGCTCAAAGGCTGCTGACCTGCCACGCCACCACCTAATCTTGGATGACGGAAAGCTGCTCTCAGGCCCCTTCAGCACCATGCCGGGATGAACAATGTTCAAGGAAGCAATGGCGAGAAGCATGGGCAGCGCGTCGAGGTATAGCTGAAATGCCTCGTGTCGAAGGATGGCGTTGGACGAGGAAACTCCTTGGCTGAACTCGATCAAACGGAATATTATCCGCTCCTGAAAACAATTTAGCTCTGGAATCTCGTGGCCCGCTTGATAGGGAGGGAGGGGGGACAAACAATGATGAGGATGAGAACAATGTAGATTACCCAGACCAAGGCGCCGGTCCAGCAGTCTCGGGCCTTGATCTTGCCAATGCGCATGTTCCGCAACAGGTCTCGGTGGAAGAATACGGTGACAATCAGGAATATCATCACAAAGGCTAGTTGAATGCCCACGCCGACCATGTAGATGTTGCGGCCGGTCTTTGCCGTGTCTGTGTTGTGTTGGTCGGCCATCATGGCGCCACCAGCGGCTTGGATGATGAAGCATATCACGTCCGCGGTGACAAAGCCCTTGGCCAGCCAGCGAGCAGGGATGCCGGCTGCTTTCCGCTCCGGCTGGAGGAAGTAGATGAGGCGGGCAACGACCATGTATCCGAATGCATTTATCCCTGCACGAGTCAGCGGTTAACGAAGCTGGCAGGGAGGATTGGAGAGTCTGGTAGGCCTACAAAGCGGCGCGAGGAGGAACAAGAGCGTCGAAAGAGTGACGTAGATCGATTCTTGCTGGTCTTTGGCCCCCAAGGCACGCAACACGAAGCAAATGCACTCCCACAGAGCACCCATAATGATGACCCAGCAAAAAGGCTGCGAGGCGCCAGTAAGTTTGTGCTGCATCTGGGATGACCAAGGGGAACATCAGTAGACGCACCTTTTTGAGGATAATGGATTGGGCCAGGTGGGCAGCAGTGGCGAGCCCAAACGCAATGGCAAACGCAACATTGTCTTCCCACCGCGGGTAGAAGCCGTAGTTGGCGTTGCAAGAGTCAGGTGGCACGTAGCCGTTCTTGTCTGGAATTGCCGTTGTGCATGTTGGGCTCGCCGTCAATGCCGTTGTGGATGCAGCGAGCAGTATTGTCGGCGTAGCAGGGAGGGCGACCATGATGGCGGAACGCTTGGAGATTGGACTTGTTGGTATCTTCTATTCTCGCCAGATGCTTGAATGTGTCATGCAAATCAAGGTGCTCGTCCAAGTGCTCCGTGGAAATTGCTACGAGCCTGAGAGGCTCGTCTTATACGATGCCGGGCGGCGCATCGATGCGACGATTGCGCGGCCATGGCGCGTGTCGAAAGCCCGCTTCTCGTTTTCTAGTTGCCATGTTGACGATTGGAAGGGAAACAGTGTCGCTTTCCACGAGGCGAAAACGACGTCTTGTTGCGCGTCTCGCGAGGCGGGCCGAAGGGGGAGGTCGATTTAAGGACGGGGAATGGGGAAGAGGGTCAAGCGTGCGGCTGAGGCGTCGCTGCCACAAATGGGATTTGAGTTCCAGACCCCTGGGCACCCATCGAGCTTGCCCCTTCCGATTGGTCGCGTTGTCGTTTTTGTCGCTTTCCCTCCCGCTGAAGCCAGCGAGCTGATGCCGGTTTGGGGCGCAGCGATTGCGTACTCGGATCCCGTCTGATCATCACCTGCGTCCCTATTCCGGGAGCACCTCGAGAGGGCGAGGCTTCTCCTGTCCTTCTACTAGCTTTCTTGCCCAGACATTTCTCCCTCTGCATCTCTCGCGTGTTCCAGCCCTACGACCTCCAGACCTCCATCTCGCACCCTTCCGCCCTGCAAATGGCTGTCCGTACCACCCCAGACAGCCAAGCCGGCACGGCAGAGCGCAGCACCCGCATCGCCGAGGCGGAGAGCCTCACCAACGACACGCCCAGCAGCTCGCCGGATCGAGTGGACACAAATGGCGGCGACACGCCCGGATCAGCTCAAGAGAGGGAGACGACCACAACGGCGACAACACCAGACGCGGATGAAGAGCGGCCCAAAAAGGTCCGCCGCAAGCCTATTCCTGGCAAGGGCTTCCGCAAGTCGAGGGCCGGATGCTTCAACTGCAAACGTCGCCGCGTCAAATGCTGTGAGACGCGACCAGGCTGCCAGAGCTGTCGCCGCATGAGACTGGACTGCGTTTATCCCACCACGACAGCGCTGGTAAAGCCGCTTCGCAGTGCTCTGGCGGCGTCGCCCTGCAAGCCCGTTGTTAACCTGGATCATCTGCGATTCTTTCAACACTTTCTCGTCGAAGCTTATCCTCCACATCCATATGGCTTATCGGCCGTGTGGCAAGATGTGGCTGCTCTGTCCCACAGCGCAAGTCACCTTGTTTTACCACTCGTTTGTTTATCAAGATCCGTCACTAACCCGCCTGGCCAGTACGACTTTCTGGCACACGCCCTGCTCGCCCTCGCGGCACAGCACCTAACTCTCTTCACCTCGTCCGACTACTCCGTTCAGGCTCTGGACCTGCGTATCTCTGCCCTGCAGGGCCTCAACTCTGCATTCTCCCGACCCTGTCTCACCGCCGCAGATGGCGACGCGCGCTGCGCCGCCGCCATCGCCCTCACATGGCAGTCGTCATACATGAGCGCCCCCGGCTCCCTGCGCGAGTTTCTCGTCACCATGCGAGGCTGGATGGTCGTGGCCACCACCATGACGCCCGAGCCCGACAAGTCGCTGTTTCGAGACTTCACTCGCGAGGCGTTTGTTGGCAGCATGAGGCATCACGTCGGCGCCGAGGCTGTCGACACGGGCAACGCTGCGCAAAGCTCAGACAGAGCCGGCGTCATTGATGGCTTTCTCGCCTCCCTGGAAATCTTGCGGCCGCTTTGCGGGAGCATGACGGAGAGGAGATACTTGTCGGCGCTGGAAAAGCTGGGCGTCCTGGCTCGCACGTCGCCCCTGGATGGTACGTCTGGCGCTGCCGCATTACCGTATACTGTAGACCCTTGGCTGACACCCCGTGAAGCGTTGCTCCAGATGGCACCCTGCTGGGCCCTGACGAACAAAATGACCGAGGACGAGTTTACCGACTTCACCCACCCGTCGAACCACGCCGCCCAGGTCCTGCTGGCCCACTTCCTCATGCTCGACCGCGCGTTGGAGATGCACTTTCTCGAGGCCACGGGAAGCAGCCAGTTCACCTTTTGCAAAAAGGTGAGCAAGGTTTGGATCGCCAACATGGCGTCCAGCCTACCCGTGGGCTACGAAAAGTACATGATGTGGCCACTGGCGCTGGCAACCGGCCGCGTCTAGCGCAGACCTTGCGCGAGCCGGCTTGATACAGAATCCCGGCGAACTTTTCCATGGTCCCGGCTACGTTCAACGGACGGGTTGGCGATACTCATCTCATCTTGCTCGATTGTCGCTGGCTTGGTGGCTGTCAAGGTCCAGCAACCACCCCTTCATGTTTGGCTTGGACGCGACATATGCGACGGCGCTGGGCTTCGCATCCGCTTAACTCCTGGCTAGACGCCTTTGCCGCAATCTTTTACGTCTTAAATATACATCAATGAATGATTCCAGTCGGAAATATTTGCAGACAACGCCCCTTGCACGAAACCAGGACGATAAAATGCTCGATTCGCACAGCAAGCCCAAGGCTGGGACCTCATGTCGGGAGGAGAAACACCGTTTAGACGACCACAGCAGCCCCGGGACCATACCACATGGCAACCCTGCTGCAAAAACTCGTGCTCCTGGTTGAGACATAGATGTTGTTCACTGACCTGTGTGTTCGAAGACCACTGTCAAAACTCCTCGCGCGGCCGCGGAGCTTCGACTTCTGGCTGAAGCCCAAGCCGAAGCCCAAGCCGATCTCCATCTTGGACCTCCCATTCGAACTGCTTTTCATGATCGACGAGTATCTCCCCCCTCATTCTCTGGTCCTCTTTTCCCGGTGCTGCAAGAAACTAGAGCCCTTGCTGGGAGTCTGGGGTGCCGAGCGGCGTCTCGGTTACAAGGAGCATATCAACTATCTGACTTGTCTTTCCCGCGATCTGCCTACGAAATGGGTATGCGAGGAGTGCGTGAAACTCCACGAATTTGCTACCGAAGATAGCCCTCGCTCTACTGGAAAGCATCATGCCCTCGGGGGTGGTGGCGGCTAGCCGAAGGCACTGCATTTCTTGGAAGTCAGTGCTTTGCGCCTCACCATCGTCATGTTCGGATGGCTCTCAAGCACAGACGCCCGGGCTCGGTCAGCGAGAGGCACCGACAGCACGTCAAAGGGATAACGGCCCCCTCCAACAAGGTCTGCGTATTCCTCTACGCCGATACCCTGGAGCCGGCCTTGAGTACCCACTTTGTGACTGTCCCAAGGATACGACAAGGACGATTCCTCGTGCTTACCGCCTGGATCTACGATAACGGCGAATGGAACCATGGCGTCGACGCCATGGGCCATTTGCACGTTTGCCATTCGGCTTGCCACCGGTGAAACCGTCTCTACGAGCTTTGACGGCTCCAGTGCGAATGCGCTGAAGTACAAGAGCCAGCCATTGGGATCAGAAACACACGCGCAATGCCAATGCTCAAACCCAGTGGCACGGCAGACTGCTGCTGCGACCGCTGCTTCGCCGACTTTACGATCAGGTTCGCCCCCGACACCACTGTCGTCGTGGCCTGGACGGATCTGGGGCCTGAGATGGACAGCACGGATCCATACTGGAGGAACTTCGTCCGCAGAAGCTGCCGCCGGCAACGCTGCAAGGTGCATCACACGAGATATGGCGGCCACGGGCATCTCAGCGCGGCGGTGAGGACTACGTCCTACGTGCCGGGCAGCACTCGGCCTTCGCCGCAGAGGCCTTCTTCGCCTGGGAACTTGATCTATCTATGGTCACGCCACGCCGGTGTCTGGTGGTGGAGGAAGAGGAGGAAGGCTGAGGTGAAGCTACGAACTTGATGCATCAGATAGGGAGGTAATGGGGATCGATGCACGTGGACGTTCCGCCGTTGGAGAAGTGGGTGTTGCTGAAGCCAAGGCGGCATCACATTGTTGCCACAGACCAGGACACGCCGCAAGCAGGGCTCGAGCCCAATCCGACGTTGGGGAGTTGGACTCGACTGCGGAAGTTTATAAATATAAGAACTTTGGGCTCGGCCCGCTATGTGCAATGGCCTATGCATGCTCAGAACCGTAGTAGCTCGTCTCCAATCCCTTCGACACCTCCCAGCCGTCGCGCTCCAGTTGAGGCCCGCCGCCTCCATCATCTTAGCCACTAAGATATCCTTCCTCGTCCAGCTATGTGCAATGGACTCAGCACGCCGGGAGACGTAGTCGCTGTCTTCAAGCCCTTCGATACCTCCCAACCGTCACACTCTAGGCTCGTCGTCTCCATCACCCTAGCTCCTGCTCCCCACACCACCCCTTTCGTACAGTCTGCGAACGCTGCCAGCCACGAACGAACTTCGACAGCTCACGGTACGCCCGTGCGGCTGATCGCGGAAACGAGCACCCCTGCTAATCAATGCCATCCATCCGGGCTCCGTGCAGGACCTCTCCGGCCCAAGATCGTACCACGCCATGACAATCACGGTGCGGCCATCGATCCCGATGCAGCAGTCGGTGGCGCACTTCCAGCAGCTTCCCTCGCACATGGATCCTCTGCGCTGCCCGGGGGGCAGGAATCGATATGTGGCACGCCTGGTGATCGGGTGCCTGACGCGACGCGAGTTATCCGATGCAAGGGGAAAAACGTTATTGTTGTCTGTGAGGCTGGCGCGGCCGCTCAAGTTGCGGATCCAGCATTCATGCTGGCAGATGTCGAAAGCCCCATAGCTGGCCGGGGATCCTCTGAAACCCATTCTGTCGCCTTCGTACACCCATTTAGAATAGACGAGGAAGCGTCCGTCCACGATTTTTGGATATGCCGAGTAGGTGATTTTGCCGCATGGGTACTTCTCGTTGGGGTACCTTTGAGTGAACGGGGCCAGTACTGCTCGTACGTACTCTTGCAAAGGCTGGTCCTTTGGGCGCAACCGGAAGTACTTGAGGCACGCCTGCACGTGTCGGTGGTGCACTAAGAGCCCGTTGGTTCCTGGGCTGGCCGCGGATTGCGCGGGACTGCACAGTGGCTTTGGACATGCCGACACGGAGTTGGACGGAACATCGTAAAGCGCGGTGTTGCTGACGTTGAACTCGTGAAGCTGCAGACATCGATCGCAGACCCACCACCTGGGCATGTCATGGCAGATGGCAGCCAGATAGTGGACGTACTCCATGGCGGAGATGTATTGTTGGGGGCACTTTGCACGCCCAAGGGCGGCACGAAATGCGCGACAGACGTGTTGGAGAACGTAACGGCTGTGCGGAGGGAGCCGGTCGCAGATGTCCAAGATCAGTTCGACGGGGAGTCCGAGGATGCCATCGCCAGGGACGTGGGACGGGGCCACTCGTGGGGTGGCCGCCATATTGTTTCGTGCCTGCGCAGCTGTGGCATCAGGCCCTTTTTGTTGCTTTCGGGCGCGACTCTGTTCCTGACGACGCGTACGGCGGGCCATGTTGAATTTGTTGGTAGATGTTGAGAGTGGTTCCTGTTGTAGGACGTGGAAATTGAAGCTGAGGTCGTTGTAGTCCGGGGGTGAGGTCGGTTGTTTATTGCTCGGAGGTTGCAGGAGCACCGTTCCCTCGGCGTTCGCCCTTGTTTTATATGTTGTGCTTTGCTACGCATCGTCGCTGGCATCGAATCTTAATCGCCGGCCTTGTCGATGGCTGGAAGGTTGCTGATGAACGTAGGCAGAGGGCCAACGTAAGGCTTCCCTGCATCGCTGCTGGTCTTTAACTTCGCGCTTGGTCTTTGGCTTAACGGTGTGGCAAATTTAACGAGACAAGAGGCTGCCGCCTGCCCAAGGCAACTTATTTAAAGCGATGCTCAGTGTCGTAGACTGCAAAGTACACAAACACGCTTCCATGCTCGTCGAACCGTGAGCACTTACGGGGTGCTATAGGGTTGGGTCCAATGTTGAGCAGGCGAGAATTGACTGTCTACCTAAGATGGCGCATTTAAAGCGAAATTTAATGTCATTAACACCAAAAAGTGTAAGAAGACAGTTTAATGCCCGTTCAGCCTCGATCAGTGACATACGAAGTACTCGTCCAGGTTGGGTTAAGTTAAAGTTGAGCGAGCGAAGAATTCACCGTTCCCAAAGGTGACGCATTTGCAGTGACTCCCAGTGAGGTAAACACCGGAAAGAAGCACAAACACGAACACAAGACAGACACTTCCATGGCTATCTCGAGTCGAGAACTAACATGACGCTATATGGCGGCTGGCACTGATGACGTGCACGTAGGCAGCACTTGAGTTGAGCTCGTGTAAACGGGCACAGTCTTGAACTGTGTTTGTACCATCGTCATGACGCCCAATTGCGCGCAATGTAGCGCAAAGCCATGCCAACGGGGCGGCTCTTCCACCGGACGCCCATCAAATCGCCAGCGTTTGAGCCGTGCACGCTTCGACCCTGCATGCTACCGGGCCCGTGTCGGCACGCATCACAGCAATGTGTCGATTCTAAACACAAAAACGGCCTGTCCTCGGCAAATCCCACGGTTCATTAGGTAAATATTGTCCATGGTCGATGGCCGTGGTACCGTCGATCTTGGCTATAAAAGCTATGCGTGAAGTACGCACCCCGGTGCCAACCTGCCTCGTCTCAAACAAAGCATGTCCCCAGTGCCATCCTTCCTTGGCAACCATGGCTCGAAACGGTTACGACATCACGTCCAATCACGTCCCTGGTGCATCCGACAACTGCATGCACCCAAGATTCCAAACGAAGATTGAAGCGGAAGAATACGGCGCAAGACTGAACGCTGTCATCGAAGAAGGCGTACGTACTACCAATGTGCACGGCCGCTGTGGCCATGAAATGTCCGGACCAGGACAAACCAGCCCTTCCACACGAACGACGCAACATCCTTCCTACTAACACCAGACTGTTTGGACCGTTAGGTCTGCTCCCACGACAGTCAAACGTGTATGCTGCAGAATTACCAGGTGTACGAGTACCGCCGCACCAAGACGCCGTCCTGGACCGTACGACTCAAGACACGCCGGCTCCGCTGCGAAGCCTCGTTCCCGGTGAGTGGCTGACTCTCGGAGCCGACTGGTGCCACAAGACGCAGCGCTTTGGCGAGAGTCTTGTTTGTTATCTACTACCAGACACGCATGCTGACCTGGTGCAACCGGATCCTCAGTGTCCCAATACTGCAAGCGGGTTCGGCTTTTGTAAGAAAGGCCTTCGGTACGCCGACTGCTATGAGAACTCTCGATTTTGATGTCTTTTGCTTGGGAGGGCCGAGGGAAGGCTCAGTCAGGTCTTGGGCGTGTCTTCTCCGCGCAAGCGGGCGGGTTGGCCAACAGTCCGGCTTGTTGGCCGACGGGCCCCCGGGCTGCTGGTAGTGTGTTTCGTGGCTTCTCTGTAATTTCAACCCGTTCTTTGCGGCAGGGCCCGAGTGATCCAGACGCGGCCCCCGCGATGTCGCTGGGTGGAGAGGCTATATAGCAATAAGTGCCCTGGATGAGCACGCTCATTGCTCCTTCCCGTTGCCACTGTTTCGTGTCTCGGCACCATGTCGCAACTTTCGCTGAATAGACTGCCGACAAAGCTCCAGTAATGCTCGAAATCAAGGCTGGCCGGCATGGCTATGATGAAGTTCAATCGCCAAAATCCCCTTTGCGCCGCGCAAAAGGTCGTGGAGGAAACCTTCGGCGTTACCACAACAGGGTGCGTCATCGGGCTGGACATGAGTGAGAGACGGCGGAGCCGTACAATGCCCATCACAAACGTCGCGGCACTTTCCTCGAGGACCCGCGGGCAGCCGGCATGGCGAGCGAGTCATGAGAAGCCTTGCGTTGGGCCTTCTGGTGCAAACATGAAATCTCGCTCGGCCGTCGCGAGTCGCACTTGACAGCCTGGCGCGCAAGCAGGCTGACGTCAAGACATGTGGCCACGCGTGGTCTCAGCGTTGAACAGCCCCCGGCCCTTTACGCATATAAAATGACAAGCGGCGCCCTGGTGACGAAATCGTCAACTCTCACATCCATCCCATCTCCACGGGCCCTGTGTCCGTTGCGACTCTCGTCCCAACAATGTCGCGAACCGTTCATATGATCGATACGAAAATTCGCAATGAGCACCCGATGTTTGAAAACAGCGTGGAGGCGACTAGATACGCTAATGAATTGAACGAAATCATCCGAGAAGGGGTGAGTACTCTGTTCTGGGCGGCTTGAAGAAGGAGCCACATCCGACCTCGCCATATTAATAGTTGCGTATTTACCGCTATGTTCTCGGAGCTAATGCGGTACGGCTTCCTTTGACCGACAGGTCTGCTCACACGCCAGACAGGAGTGCATGCGGCAGATCTACCGGCCGCAGTATGTCAGGGAGCACCCTCTACACAAACCATTCTGGTCTGTTGCGCTTATCACGGAGACAATCAGGTGTGCTGGTAGATCGCCCGTGAGTACCCACACCCCTTTCTTCAGCAGGACCGAGCACGCTTCTCAGTTCTCTGTCCTTCACTCTTCTCCTCTCCCCTTACCCGACCAGACCGCGGCCCCACGGCCTCCAGTTCTGCGCTTGCCTTTTTTTTTTTTGCTGTTGCCTGCAGCGGCGTAACAAGTGCACCAACTGACGTAAAGATCCTGCAATGCATAGTGCCCCGACGCCGCCAACGGATTTGGGTTCTGTCTTCTCGAAAAACGAATGCGGACTGCAGAGTGCTACAAGTCCGCTCTATTTGGGTAACTGGGGCTCTCCTGGCTAGGAATGATGTTACGCGGAGTGCATTGAACACTGAGAGGCTGTTCTTGCCATTACCAGTTGAGGGCGGCTCGTTGAAAAATGCCGGAGTGGGTAGCGAACATGACAGCTCTCGCCGAGCTCTGCCAGGCATGTACCGTCAGCCTGGAAGACGCACATCGTGGTGCCGAATTGCGTGCGTGATCGCCAGAGCCAGCCAATGGACCGCGCACCAGGTGCCACAACGACACGCAAGCCGGGCGATGTCGAAGTCCACAGCAACATATTAATTGTCAATCTGAGAGCGTGTTCAATTGCAACGGGAAACCATTTACAAACTATGAGGTAAATAGCGTCGCCTCGTCCATGTGCTGTCCCAGTGCCACCTCATCACGGATGGATAAAAGCCCAGTCTGTGGAAGAGTTGACCCCCCTGGGCTGAACGACACCAGACCCCTCTCCCTCCGCTGCGGCGTACTGGCACAAAGCGGCGACAATCGACAATGTCCGAACTCGAACGACGGTTCCGTACGAAAGCCGAGGCGGACGTTTACGCGAGACAGCTAACCGATGCCATTCGGGAAGGCGTGAGTAACACCAACCCGTACCCCGGCAGTTGCCGCCGTAGCACGAATGGTTGTAGCTCAACAGCCGGGCGGTGTAAAACGAGGCCCGACCGAACAATCTACTGCGCAAGCTTGCTGCTCGATACTAATGTCGCCCTGCCTTGGCGTTTGGCCATTAGATTTGCTCCCACGCCACAAACAAGTGCCTGTATCAGGTCTACCGGTCCACGCGCATTGAGGGCATGGAGCCGCGCTCGCCCCGCTGGCTCATCGAGAAACTCACATTTGAGAGGAAATGCGCGATTGCTATGCCGGTAAGTAGAACCAGGTCGGGCTATACCCCCTCCCCGTTCTTTTGGTCTTGCTTCTTTCCGCAGCCGCCCC